GGGTGCCTGCAATATGCAACTATGACACTGTCTCTTATACACATCTAGATGTGTATAAGAGACAGCTCACAAATACAGTACGATATTGCCTGGTAAGTCTAGGGCACCATCCCATTGATTTTCTAATCCTTGTGATATATGACTATTATATAGTTATAAAATATACCAGCATAATATGGGGCACCATTCCATTGATTTTCTAATCTTTATGATATGACTATTATATACCAGATAAACAACGCATGTACAGTAGCATAGTAGACTGGAATGGGGATGTAGCCTGACTGTGTTTTAAACAAAACACATTGATTGATTTCAAATTTATATGGTTCTAAAAAGCACAATTCCTAGATGCCATCACTTGAATAAAAAAATATAATGTTGTTTTGTTTCATTGATATTAAATTGTCTAATAAATATTTAAGTTTTTGAAGGGACATTTTATTTTTTTAAAGAGGGGAGTAGACCTTTTCATATAGATAAATCAACTAGCATGACAATAGATGAGTATAGAATATTTAAAAAATAAATTTTAAGTAAAAGTTTAGCATAGAAAAGAACCTTTCTCATTCGTACAGTGTTATACTCCGCGAAAGTGGAATGTTTCTGCCTTAGGCCTATGTGTATATTAAAATATTATATTATAATTATTATTAAAAATCTTTCACATCAACAAACACATTTTCAAGTATCAGGTACAGTATTTTTTAATTTATACACATATAATAGGTATAAACATACAATTTAGGCCTAATATAATTGCCAAGGAGACAGAGCCTGTGTTTGTGGTCCCGGGTGTAACTAAATAATAGGCCTATATAGATGTACCACATTGCATTCATAACATTAATTGATAATAATCCAGGTTCATGGGAAAGAGCTGGTTGAACTAGGAAGTGAAGCTGTAACTAATCCAGTGTCTTAATAACGTAAGCATGGGGTGTGGAGATCCGTATTAAAAGTGCAACGCAGGGGCGGATTTATTGGGAGACGCCTCCCTCCCTCTTTCGGACAGAATATTATCTGGATCCGCCCCTGCAACATCCTTTCGATTGAAGATAAGCCAGCGTTTGCTAGCTTTATGTTGGGGCCTCCCTGGTTTCCCATTATTTTTGCATATTTTAGGGTTTCTTTATGCCTACATTTTAGTCGTTTAATTAATGCTAGTGTGCAATGCTTTATTGTTGTTGTCTTTTGAAGTGGCCTAAAAAATAATATAATTCAATATCGGTACATAGTTCTTTAATACTGTAGTTTCCCTACTCTGGAAACAGGTTAGGGGTCGTCATGATTAGGGCTAAATTTAGATGTTAACAACAGAAATTTCTATTTCTTATTCTAACTACCTTTACTATGATGATGATGATGAGCAAGGAATGGCATGAATCGTTATATAAGATGTGCTACAGTATAATATTCCATATCATTTTACTATTATTCAGCGGTGGCTTGTCAGTTTGAATACCAAACATACACACACACACACAGAATACATGGAAACACAGCAATATTTGAATTTTTAAATTTGGAGTCTCCCAATGATCATCACGCAACAGTAATAATATCGTGCGCCCTCAGACACCAAGACATTTCCGATAGTGTACTACCCCGGAAGGTGCCAGATATAAAGATATTAAAAAGATAAATTTTGAAGCCCAGCACATTTGAGGAATATGAGGTTGTATTGAGTCGATTTTGGATATCTAGCATGGTAGTTTTCAGTAACAAATAAATTTAAAAAAAAATAGGTGTATGTCTTTTAAAAGAAATTTTAATACAGGGTGCCTGCAATATGCAACTATGACATGTGTCATTAAATTGATTTATTCATCTACTCACAGCTGTGGGTTTTAGTGCCTCTTCCACGAACATCTCAAACATAGTCTTTGACAACATGCAAAGGCTCAAAAATGTACACCATTTCAAAAGAGAAATTTCACTTCTAGAAACCATGATGAAGTTTCTCAGCAACATTGAGTAGAAAAATCACAAAATCAACAGAAAGGAAAACTAATATCCAAAATCCGTTAAAACAGTCGTCAAACAACAAAATCCGCAACTGTATATTAACATTGAGTAAATTACAAGTGTTCTATTTCTCTCCAAGTAGATTTATGAATAGCACTCTCCTAGGGTGTTCTTGGTAGGAAAAGAAGAATTAAACACTGTGGGTGTAATTTTTTCTTTGCAAAAAAAATAGGTGGGGGGGGGGGGGGGGGGGGGGGGGTGGCAAACGCCACTTACGCGCCACCCCTCCTAAATCCGCCACTGGAAATAGGCCCATAGGCCCTAGGTTTAGGCAGGCCTACTTTGTTTCATGTCAATTACAGACAGGATTATACAATTTTATACAGTATATCTTGTAAATTACACAATATGATTAAAACAAAAGGTCCACTGATTAATCTCAGATAAGAAAGTATAATACATACTCCAAGTATTGAAATACACGCCATCGTGTTGGGATTAAATCAGGTACTGTACTTGAAAACAATAAGGAAGCAAAACTTACACGTCAAAAGTGTCAAAGGTTGTCTACACAAAAACTGTACTTTATTAAAAGAGTAAGTCTACTGAAGGGGGTCATCAATGGAGATGTGCACACATATCAGTGTACTGTGGTCACTGTGCATGGGGTTGTCTGACAGCACATACCTGCTGACCTCGATAGAGAGTGATTGATTGCACAAAGGTTTCCATGCTGGTGCATCTGCGCTTAAACTGTCTTTGTAGCTATGCATTGCGCGGTGTGACATAGAATCAACCTTTTTTTTATGGAATTGTGTATCCATTCAATTATCTCAAAAAAAAAATTGTGTTTGTTTGTTTGCTTGTTTCGCTGTTTGTGATATAAGGGGGGGGGGGCGTCGCAGGCGTCCCCCTAAATCCGCCCCTGGTGGTTGGTTTAAAATGATCTGTGGTTAAAAAAAAATAACAAAGTTTGTTTTATTTACATTTAGGAAAAATTTATTTGCTTAAACCATTCACTGAATTTTGAAAGTTAAATTTGTAATATTTTTAGTTGAATAATAAGCAGTGGTATCATCTGCGTAAGAAATTACCTTAACTTGCTAACATTACACATATCGTTTAAATATAGTAGAAATAGCAAAGAGCCCAAAATCGACCCCTGGGGGACCCCACATATAATTTCAGATAGTGACGATTTTATATTATTTATGCTGACAAATTGTTTTCTGCTTTCTCGGTAACTCATGAACCATTTCAAGCAAGTGCTTAATTTTAGATTGACATTAGAGTTTATATCTTTGCCAAATTTTTGTCCGATGTTTATGAAATAATTGTTAAACTGTTTTGGTATGATAGTAGGCTCTGTAAACGTTTCATCATTATGCTCAATGGTATCGGGAAATTTTAGTTTAGTCTTATTTAGATTTATAACTGAGTTTATTGTGTTTTTTTCATGTCCCCATGGCATTTTGATAATCCGGATATATAGAAGTCCCTTCTTGCCCTTTTACATAATTTATTGTAGACGTTAAGGTTTATCATGATTTTCTTTGTCCTTAAGGTATACAATTGTGAATGGGAAAATATAAGGTTTAAAGTGTCTAAGAGTATAGACAATAGACAATATAGACAATAGACATTATTTCTTAAAAGAAATGGACCTCTTTCAGGGTAGGGACTTTTCGAAGTCACGACGGAAACGTTACACGTCATAATTTGCATACCGTAAAACCAGAATTGAAGCTCAGATGGGCTTAATCTCGAGATGAAGCCCATCTCGAATTAAAGCCCCCTCTTTAGTTTGCAAAATTAACCTCGAAAAACAAATTAAATATGCGTCTGTCAATGCAATTGAAGAGCTGAAAAAATGTAAAATTCAATTACATATTTAAATTACCTAATTTTTATATTTATGTAAGTTATTAACTTACAATTACAAATTTGAATGAAAAAATGTTCTCAGTCAAATAACGGACGTGTAATACCAGCTTTCCTTTTGTTTTTGAAGACCGTTAATTTTTGTAGTAAAAGTAGCAAGTGAAAAGGGGCCGGCCGGCCTACGTATACGTTGACTTTGTATAGACCCTACAATAAATTTATTTGTTGAAATATTTCGAGCACTATCCCATATAGCAATATTTTATAATCTATAAAAATGTGTTTTTTTTTTGTGCCTAATCATAAACTTTCTTGATAAGCATAGATCTATTTTTTATTTGCTAATTTTGAGGTATTGGAACTTAGTAATGTTTTTAAATCACGAAAAACCAAACATGAAATTGACAATCAAATATTTTGCTTACTTTGTTGTAGGTCCAGCCTAGGCCTTTTGTACAGTTAATTTAATGTTTGAGCTGTAATTTCAATATAACGAGAAAATAATGTCAAGTGCAAGTAAACTTTCGTTTTGTTGCTTTCTTTCCATATTAATGTTTTGGTATGACATCATCCATATACCTTCACACTCACGTAGCCAATCGAAATGTACCGTTCCCCCATTCAAGTCGACCGATCTCAACAGCCTAAAAATCTAATTTGCATAGGTCTCTAAAGCCGGGCACTCGCTGCGTCGACGACGAATCCACATCTGCAACGCCGTCTGCTGATTGTCAGAGGCAGTCTGAGCGGATCCTCATTAAAGCGATCCGTTGGTTTGGCGCTGTCGCATGCGTTCGTCGTCGCGTTGTCGTCGTGATTTCGAAAAATCCCTACTGTTACCAATTATTATATACAGAACCATTTTCTGTGCCTAAAGCTACGTTCACATCAAGCCCGGATTTCGGTCCGGAGTCCGGATAAAAAATCGTGAAAAATGGGTTCAGTGGTAAAGAATAGGACCTTCACATCAAATTCGTACGATTTCCAATCCGGACTCCGGATCCGGACCGATGGATCTGAGTGCCATTTCTATCCTGAAATCGTACGTTCTTTTTCTTGGACCAATCAGCAACAAGATTGGTTGGTTCGAACCAATCGAACGCATACATACGTACTAAGCCGAACAACCATGTTCCGTGCGCGATGTGAACGCAGTGTTAAAAAAAACGTAGTGTCCGGGCTCGCTCCGGTCCGGATCCGGGCTTGATGTGAACGTAGCTTTAAGTTTGCGCGTATCAAAGTTGCGCAACCGAATACGATGAGTTCTACGCGTGCATTCAAGCGTACCATATTTTATTTTGTACGAACTCTACCGGCATTTGATCTACTGTTCGTATTTCATTACACTATTTTACTATTAATACCTCCATGCTACAACATTAGGCTAGGCCTTTGCCAAGGTTTCGATTATTGTTATATTAATCCAGGAAGTTATGTCTGCAATTCATATTCATAAACTGGACGACGTGGTGGAAGAAGATTTCTTTAACAAGGACAAAGCGCATTATATAACCGCACCACCGGTAAATAGTCCTTTACTTAAAGAAACCACCCAAAACAGTGTTAAGATAATTACAACATTCTCCGAAAATAGGCCTAGACATAAGCCTAGGGCCTAGGCTTAATTATGATATTTGTTTAGCTATATCTAGGCCCTATATAAACCTACCTGACATAGGCCTAGGCATAGGCTATCCTATCCTTTTTTTTATAGTTGGGATAGGCCTAGGCCTATAATCTCATTTTGATGGTTATTTTTAAATTGTAATATGCCTAGGCCTGTGTATGTCTAAGCCTACCCTGGGTCTAACCCTACGTTAGGCATAGTTATTATACATAAGTAGGCCTACTATTGATCAATGGTCAATGCCACTCTACTGGTTGTGGGTTCTGATAATTGATTGGATTGGACTGACTGGAATTATTTGAAATTAGCAATTTCATATTTAAAATGGGCGTTAGTTACGTTTGCCAATGAAGCCATTATGTTTCATTTTGCAAGGAAATAGGCAGATAATTTTTCTTTACTCAAAAATAACGTCATGCTTCTCTGGCCAAAGTTCCCTTAGTTTGTCAATCATGATCATTGGTGTAAGATATGCTATAGTTCCTAAATAAAATTATTGATTATGAATATGATTTGGAACTGTTTCAGAATGACGGCACAGTAAAATCCAGAATTGTACATTCGTGTTCGTGTTGGAAATTTCATCAATATCACCAGTTAACACATTCCTACTGCCGGTACAATCGTGTTTGATTACACCAAGCATTTTTCTTTGACAAAAAGGCATTATGTTTATTTTGTAAGGAAATATGCAGACTAAAGGCATGTTTATATTTGCAACTATACGATAATGATAAAAAGCTAAAAAGTAATTGTTCAGAGAAAATTAAAGAAATAAGCGAAGTTATTACACTAGGACGATTTGATAACGACTTATCGTGTATAGGCCTACAATAAAACATAATTTCACTAATCAATTCAAATGACGTCATAATCATGGCAAAACGATAAAATCGTGGTAGTAACAACGATTTTATCGTTTTTCCATGATTATGATGTCATTGGAATTTATTTGTCAAGATATTTTTTGACAAATTTATCGTTTACACTTTTTAGCTTTTCATCGTTATCGTTGCAAGTATAAACAGGTCTTTTATAGGCAAATTCAATGATATTTTGTCTTTAAACTATTAAATATTTTTCGTTTCAGAGTGGTGTCCTTAGTGTACATATGAAACAGCTTCGCAACATAAATGACCAATGTATCCTTGTACTGTATATATTTATATTTCAGATGAGATCGCATAGGTCTCCGTACTAAAAGCCGTACTGACTTTATTTTAAGACGATGATGGTGTTGATGGTAATGTTGATTTGATTTGTATAAATTATAATCTTCCACAAACAACTCCATGCTTCTCTCTGACTAAAGTCCAATTTGTTTGCTTTGGTCATTCTTAATCATTGGCAGGGGCGGATTTAGGGGAGGGGAACCCCGGCCCCAGCCCCACCCCCTTTTTCTGGAAAGTGAAAAAAATTTAAAAAAAATAAAGAAAGAAAAAGAAAAAATTGATCGCCCAAAATGCCTCCGAGGTTATTTTCGGGCATCTGAACACAGAAATCTCCCAGACCCCTAGCGTATTGTTATCTCGATTGGCCTCAATTTCTTCCCCCTTCTACCCACCCATCCCCCCCCACCCCGGACATCTCTGGATCCGCCCCTGATTGGTGTTTCGATATACAAATAGTCGGTAAATACAATTTCTGATTATGAATATGATATGATATCTTTTAAATTGTTCCAGAATGTCATCCTTAACCTTTGCAAAAGTAATCGGCACAGTAGATCCAGAATTATACATTCGTTTTCGTGCAGGAAATTTCATAAAAATCACTGGCAAACACATTCCTATGGACGGTACAATCGTCTTTGATGATACCAAGCACGTTTCTTTGACCGTAGGTTATATTTATTTATTTATTTATTCATATATTCATTTATTCATATATTCATTCATTCATTCATTCATTCATTCATTTCATTCAATCATTTATTTATTTATTTATTTATTTATTCTGCTTTTCTCCAAGAAATATATATATTTACTTTTTGTAACAGTTACGGTACATTACGTAAAACCGAGATCGATCTTCATCTTTAAGCTGGTTTTCCACCAGCAGCACGTTTTCATCACGAGATTCTCAAATGCGCAGGCGTATAGGTACAAATTTGCTATTCGAGTGAATAAATTCGCCTAGTGGAAAACCGGCTTTAAGCATTTAAAACGACAAGACAGGATCTCTGATAAGATATTTAAATAATTCCTGGTAGACCTACATGTAAAGGCAGACACTCTAAACCATCTTTGATGTAAGTGTGTTTGTGTGACGGTTATTATCTATACTGTAATTATGATCATATCCTCAGCTCATCAAACTTGATAGACATATTCAATTTGCATATTAATTTGACATTGCACACTCATAATTACTCAGATTTCTAGGAAAAGAAGTGACGTAAAGAATGACGTTCGTTTTGATCTTGTCTTAGTAGAAAACTCGCGAGTGCATCGCATTGTTGGTCATAAAGACATTCACTTATATGACATCATCAAGGTATGAATAAATGTATAGAATAATAATGAATATTATCATAAATTATAAATTAAAAAACGTAATAATGGTAACGTTTGTAGATTTATATAATCTTGGCATGAACGAGTAACCTGTAATTAACATCTTTTTCTGAGAATTATTATGTGTCCTTATCATTTTATTTGCAGAGTCTTTACCTGGCTAACACATATGATATCAGATACAAAAATCAGGTAGGCTAAGTGAAATCGCCTGCCATATTTAACATAAATAAAACGGAACGTTTTCAGCAATTATTCTAGCAACAGGTCTACGTAACTTATTCAATAATCAGTTCAATTTAATTAGAGACATACAGTCATTCTGAAATTAAAACATAGGCGCTATAGTGTAGAAATATATCGGTAATGCCTGACACTTTCCCCACTGGAAATAAGTCTTTTCTAGACTTTCGTGGGTTTTCCTTGGTGTTTACACCGAAGAAATCCAATCCAATCTCCAAAAAATATTTACAAATGCCATTTTTAGATTGTTGCCAAACTTGATTTGGAGCTTTGCTTTGCCTATGGTATATTTGGATTCGGATTTTCTCACCAACTTGAGAACCGGCAGAAAAAAGTTAGCGATATTGTTAGCCATTCGTTGTTTTTCCGGGTCGAGCCACCTGACCACCGAAAGCAAGTCAAAAGGTATAATTATTTTATTTTTTCCCAGTTTGAAAAATTATTATCGGTCCACATAATTTAGATATATAATGATAGGATTAAGTGTAGGAAATACCGAAAATATATAACGCGTAATTTTGAAAGTTTACGCTCGGTTTAAAAAAATATTGTCTGTCTATATAATTTACATATAAATAGGCCTAAATACCAAAGATAAAACTTATGTAGGCCTAGTACTAAAATACATTACCGTATTTATTCGAAATTGTTGGGAAGGGTTTTAGAGTGGACGTTTATTCCAGGGAGGCGTTATTCCAGGGAGCAAAAGGAGGCGTTTATTTATTTATTTGGTTGTAAAATAGATACGTAGGTATATATCCTAAATAAACGCCCCCTAAATTTCGCTGTAAATGTAGAACTACAGCACATAATTACAAAATGTGTTATTGCGTGATGATAAGATTTACTGATCCCAACCAGATTAGAACAAATCTACTGGAATAGAATTAATAGAATGCATTAAGAATGATTTGTACAGTCATTTAGGTGGTGGGGGTGGGGAGCGTTTATTTGAGGATAAATTTACTCCCTTAGGCGTTTATTCGTGGGAGGATTTATTCCAAATGAGTCTCTGGAGGGGGGGGGATGTTTAATCTTATTCGAATAAATGCGGCATTTTTTCCAACTATTCATTTAGGCCTATACATAGGCGGACGTTGGTAGATTAAGTCATAAATTAACCTAAGAACGCCACATTTACAGTGGATTTATGACGCGTAGGCATAAAAGTAATCGTTTATGAGATAGGCCTAAGCACTGCTAATTTGTTATCTTGTTTTTTTAAGCAATGTTATTACTCCGATGCCAGTGAGACATCCTGAGATTATAAACTTCACCGAGAAGGCTAATATTGGAGGCTTTGATCTTGAAAATGGTGCGGGTATTTTTACACGTCATCAATTTGCATTAGTATAGTACAGAATAGTAATTTCTTAATGCACACAATTCGTTTTACAAAATTGTTTTTTGTTTAAATTATTACTTTCCAGAATCAAACTTACCGGATATAAACATGTTCGATGATGTTGAAATTGTTGGTGAATCTAGTTTGTTACACAGAATTCTTAGAAGAAGGTCAGAACAATGTTATTCACACAAGGTGTACATGCATTTAAATGTAATTAATAATAATTATAATAACCATTATAATACAGAAAAAACAGCACATCGGTGCGTCTTGTACGAGTATTAATGCACTGGTTTATTTTTCTCTATTCCAAAGTATTTAATATAATTGGTCAGTGATTATAATTTTTATTCTGGTGTTAGAAATGCCTTGCGCTCTACACTGTAAATAATAATAATAATAATAATAATAATAATAATAATAATAATAATAATAATAATAATAATAATAATGAAGATGATGATGTTGATAATGAAGAATATGGTGGTGGTGATTATGATAATTATGATGATAGATGATGATGATGATGATGATGATGATGATGACGAATTGATGATGGTGATAATTATCATGAAGAAGATAATAACAACCTTCCAATACTGACTAGGATGAATCGTCTGCAGTCTAATTTCTCCCAGCTTCGTGGACGTCAACAACGCAAGAATTTTCTCGAGAAACTTGTACTCAGTCACATTGATGACCACCAAACAGTCGAGGTAATTTATATTTTTTAGAAAGTATATTTCAGTTCCGTTTTAAGAAGAACGGCGAGGTGCGCGCAACGGACGTTTTTCATGAAAATCCGTGCAGTCTGCAGACAGCGTCGCGTTGTCAAGTGCTCATCGGAGATAGATTCGTCGGTTGACCGTCGTGCGACCGTCATACGACGGAATGTGTGCTTAGGTTGTACTGACAACTAGCAGACGGCATTGCGTCGTACGTCAATCGTTCCAGGTAATGGAATCATCAGCCGACGACGGTCGTACGAGTGTCTGCTGACGCAGAGCATTCATTTTATTCTACACTCTTGTGAATCGGTAACCAGAAGGGTAAAAAAAAAAAGGAATAAAGGCCTTCTTCTTGGTATCCACCTTTTATTACGAAATCAATTATTGCAATAATAGACCTATTAAGCAATTAGTAGAGCTCCGCATAATACACTATAGGAAAATTATTATACGAAGGTTAGATTTAATGCTTGAAATTTTTGAATGCATTAAATCTAACCTAAGTATAATAATTTTCCATTTAGTGTACGATGCATGCTCTACTAATTGCTTTATAAGTCAATCGCCGTCTTTTAATTTTAGTTTTTTATAACTAACTTGTTGTAGCAGTCATCGGTTGCTATAGTGATATGATGAGTATACATGTGTATTTACATTTAGCTGTACGTATGCTGATTTTTGCTCCTGCGGTACGCGTTTAATTAACTACACATCAGCAGTACAGTACGGATACGATGAATAACTATTGTGTTAGAAAGAACTTGATTGTAATGCTATTTTGATAGACTTTCGTCAAAGAAATAAACATTTTAGCATTCGAGAGAGAATACAGTCACTGACGTACTTTTTGGTCGGCGCATGCAGACAGGTAAAATCGTGCGATGATTTCATAAACGGCCTAGTAGTAGTCTAGTAGGAGGATCTAAATTTGTTCCTTGAGTCTTTAAAAGAGGTCTAGAATAGGCCTATTCCTATTAAACGTCCAGTTTGTTATGTTTATGAGGGTCATTGATTCAATAATGAATTCCTTAATTGTTCATATTTAATATTGAATTTGAACTTTCTTCGGGTTCAAATTAAGCTTGCTTTACGAAAGTAAAAATTACAATTCAATTTTCATCGCGGTGGTGCACGATGTATTCGATTTTTACGTACACGAACCTATAAAAAATCAAGACAAGCGTCCACTAATTGAAAAATTAGTGAACGATGGGGAATAGGCAAATACGGTAACATTGGGAGTTGCAGTGATGACGTCACGATTGACTTATAAACAGTACCGGTATTATGGCCTACCATATATTTCTTATTAACTCTATTCATATTGTATATATAAGCCCTTCTTATTGAATGGATACTTATATTATATTATGATTTCCTTCATTTTTTCGATGTTTTTGATTATTTTTTTGATTATTTTTATTATTAGTAATATCTTTTTTTTATATTTATTTATTTATTCATCAGTCTTTTCTACGTGTTAAAAATATATATTTAATATATTTAAGAGGGACCCACTGTAGAAAGCTTTGCTTGTCGTGGTTTTTCCTTTTCTACCAACTTGTACCGTAACTTTTGTAATGAAAAAAGGAAGATGTGGAATAAATTGATGATTGCCTGATTGATTTCTTTACAGGGTCAAGGAACTATACCGGATAAAACACTAGTCGGAGGACAGCGGGGAGGGGCAACAAGCCCAGGAGACATAGTACAAGCTCCTCAAAATCTAAGCTCGAGTGAAGAGGAGGACGAGAGTGTTGACACGCTAGCTCCTATGCTTATTTTAGCACCCGGTATGTACTTTGACATGACGTATGTGTTTCTCATTGTCATCTATTATACTGGAAAAATTAAACGTCACACTATTATCTTATTCCGAACAGGACTGACTTCACGTGGTAGGGGATTAGCGGAGTTACCGACAGTTTCAGAGGTTCGTGCACATATCAAATATATAGGCTTACATACGACTGATAGCGGTAGGAAAAGCATTTTCTGATTCTCTAATGATTATTAAATCGGCCACTCACTGTACACGACGGTCGTTCGCCGACGCGAACGCGACGACGCGCACGTATCTGATCTTTTTTAATGACGATCCGTTCAGACTGCTACCTACCGACAATCAGACGGAGTTGAATTCGTCGTGCGACGGTCGTACCACGCAGTGAGTGCCCGGCTTTAGAATATGCGACTTAATGTAAATTTTGTTTGGTATAACACAAAATACTATCATCATCATCCTTCATCATTATAATCATCACCATTATCATCATCGTCATTATCATTATCATCATCATCTTCACCCTCCTCATTTTTATCAAGCCTTTGTGCGTGTTTGTGCATGCTTCGCTCTTTTTTATTCGATAATTATTGATTTGACGTGCAGGACGAGGGTTCTATTTCATCGGACAGCGCAAGTAATAGTAAGCGAACAGATGCAACAACTAGTAAAGTTCCACAAGACAATCAACTAGAGGCACCATACCAAACAACTACTACATCAACTACACTCGCTCGCGGCATTGCACGGCTTATTGGGCTACGCCCGTGGAGAAGGTCCGCCACGGATAACAACTCATAAAGTCATTCTGAACTAAAACTCCGACAGAAATGTTAATGCGTATACTTTATGTGTTTACAAATAGTTTATCGTGTTCGCGACGTTGAGTTTGACTGGGTATTTAAAAAATAATTATAGACTAAAGTTTCAGATACTATGATACATACCGTAGTTTGATCATATTAATAGGATAATAGTTAATAGCATAACCTATCCAATAGAACTTTATTGTAGTTAATAAGAAATTACGTAGGCCTATAACCCGCACTTTTTTGTATCTTGTTTATTGCGTGCATGTATGGCCTCGTTAATTGCCGAAATTTATTTCATTGTTGTGACATAACTATTTCTAATTGTCAACTGATCCTGGTTAGTTTCCATAACAATGCAAAACATTCTGTTTACTTGTTCCTGTCTGACAGTATACTTGAATTGTCAATAACAATGTCAAATATAAAATGTTTTAGTATATGGTTTATTCCTTCATGAAAAGATAAAATGACAACCCGTCATCACTTTATTAAGAAGCTTTCGATTGCACGACGACGACAGCATGACGTCACTAAAAGTCATCTGCGCATGCAAGAACGTAAAGGTCACCTCTCGTCGAGTAGATTCTGGAACGCAATTTGGTCAAATCTATGTATGCAGAGAACGTAGGACGCCAGGTAGGACGGTCGCGCATGAGTGATTCCGTTCTAGCGTCGCGTCGTCGCACAAATCGAAAGCTCCCTATTGTGTACGCTTTCAGGGGAGGGAGTGACTCAAAGTGTGAATACCTTTCTGGAGTGTCAATCAAACTTTAACTGACCAATCAGAAAAAGGGCCAGGAATACGCACACGTCTCACAACACTTACATGTACGAGTTGTCCCACGAACGCACGCGGGCTTAGCGAAAAGGTCTACAGGTCTATTTAACCAATTATCTTTCCCCCTTTGTCATATTAATTAAATAATATGTCCCCAGTTAATTCTGGATTATCAAAACGCTTGTGGCAGTACCACGTAGCATGCATTTGTCGATTTCACTTTGTCAAAACCAAAGTCTTGAAAGCAAGACCTTGGAATGCAAAATTCCGTTTACCAAATGTCATTGAGGACTCCTACAATGCAGAAATTTGAGTTACAGAAAGCTGCAACGTAGTTATTTCGTCTTCGTCGAGGGGAAAATGTGTCTCAGATTTAGATAGCGTTTTGGTCATTACCGTTTTGATTTTTTGCCGTTTTGTCCAGAAACCGGCCTGGCATGGTTGGCCTATTGTACATCCTAATGCCGTACATAAAAATATTTGTTGTCAAATGATGATCCTTATCCTCGGCAATAACTACATTACATCCATTGTAAAATAATACTCTTGCAACGAATTGGGGATTCTTTTTTTGTTCATGCTGCGATAGCATTTGCAATGAATAATGTTCTTGACTTAGGCCTAAAAAGTACCTCAGCCGGCGACGACTCACTGGAGCAATATGCACGTCGTGAATGTACCCGGTACGTTTTCTTGAAAAACCTACTATCCATTGGAGCCTTACCAAACCAAACTGATAAGTTTTGTTTTATCTATAATCTAAGTATGTATACTCAAGTTTGGTAGTTTTGAAATAAATGTTACGGAACGAAAACGATAGTCATTACCGGTATATATAAATAATGATTTTACTCAAAGTCATTATAAATAATTATTTTAACATCATATTATTTATAAATAAGAAAAATCGTTCCTCCAATTATTTATATATAATTGTTCGAAGAAAACTAATTATATGTATATAATGCATGTACATCATTTTATATAAATAATGGTTTCACATACAATTATTTAATGCCGAAATCATCATATAGTGTATCCCTACCTAAGCTGGTCGAACGTTTCGTTTATGTCTATACCCTAGCTGCACTGATGAGGCCTGGAAGGCCGAAACGGATCCGTCTGCAGATATTGGGATTCCTTCCAGTGGATGCTTAGTTTATTTTGTCATTCTGATCGGATTTTCTCTACTGTTCCGTTTTAATTTTAAATAGTATTGCATTATGTGGCAGTTTGCTTTTTTATGGGTTTTCCCCATTTGCTTTTTAACTTTATAAATAATAAACATTTATTCAACAGTGTTAACGGCGTTCCTTCAATATCATATATAATATACGACAGTATTTCTAGCCGTATTTCCAGATTTATCTGGCCGAACGCCCTCTTGAGGCATAGCATTGTGTAATACAATGTTCCCGGTCCCGATGGGTATTTGGACCTGTTCAACCATTAAGCCTTCGTGGTCTAGTGGTTATGACGCTCGCCTTGTCAGCGAGAGGTTCGAAACCCGTCGGAGGCATTTTATTACACAATGATTTTTCATAGGACTTTATTCGTTAGAAAGCTACAGGGTAGCCTATGATGTTCCATCATGTCCTTATAGCCTACGATGTTCCATCATGTCCTTATTTAACACTGTATATGTACCTTTGATGATTTATATTATATATATATATATATATATATATATATATATAATTGTTTCACAACCATTGTGTGTATAATGTGATAGTACATTTCATTATTTAACGAAATTATATATATATAAGTACATTTTGCGCCTTAACAAAATTATATATATATACTGTATATATAAGTATATACATATAAGTACTTATATACATATAAGTACATTTGGTGCCTTAAGTCGCCAAATGTACTTTCATTATTTAACTAAATTCTGTACATATACAATAAATAATTATTTTAACATCATATTATTTATAAATAAGGAAAATCGTTCATCCAATTATTTATATATTGTTAAAGAAAAATAATTATATATATATAATGCATGTACATCATTTTATATAAATACTGGTTTCACATACAATTATTTAATACCAAAATCATCATATACAGTGTATATATAATTGGTGAAAAACCATTAGGCCTATATATAATGGATTTACAACCATTATATATATAAATATATAATTGTTTCACAACCATTGTGTGTATAATGTGATAGTACATTTCATTATTTACATATAAGAAATTATATACATATAAGTGCATTTTGCGCCTTAACAAAATTATATATATATATACCGGTACTGTATATATATATATATATATATAAGTATATACATTATAAGTACTTATATACATATAAGTACATTTGGCGCCTTAAGTCGCCAAATGTACTTCCATTTAACTAAATTATATACATATAAGTACATTTGGCGCCTCAAGGCGCCAAAGGTACTTATATACATATAATTCATTATTTAATATATAATTAAATATTTTTTCATTATATACATATAATAAGTTTTGCCTCCAACAAATATATATATATAAACGGAACGATTTTCATTATATATAAATAATTTAAAGTAGCAAAACATTATTTATAAATAATTGAAGTGCCGAAAGTCATTATATACAGTATAAATAATGATTTTACTCATTATTTATAAATAATTGTTTTAATATCGTATTATTTATAAAACGAAAATCGCTTCACCAATTATTTATAGGCCTATGTAATTGTTGGAAACAAAACTAATTGTATATAACGAACAAATTTTGAATTATATATTAAATAATGAACTATATGTATATAATTTTGTTAAATAATGAAAGTACATTTGTCGCCTCATAGTCTCGCGATGTAAACAAACCATCAGTTTCCAATTTGTTTACAGTCTATGTTCACAAGGTACACAGCATTTCTGATATAGGCCTATAATCCAGAATACATTGCAGCAAAATTTAATTCCTTGAAGTGTATACAACATACTTAATTATTAATAATAATAATAATAATAATAATAAGTGACATTTATAAAGCGCTCTACGCCAGCAAGCCGGCCCCAGAGCGCATACAATCATCAAATTTAAACCACAACAGTGTACAATACAAATTCAAGAAAAATATTTACAATATTATCATTCAAAACACCAAAAACTAAACAAAATTATTCATTGACATAATGCATAAAAATGTAAGCCATATATTTTACATGTTGATGAAAAACATCAAGGGCAGGTAGGTGTATAGGCCTTGTACCAATAAGTTATCAGTCAGTTATGTACACAGGCAAAAAGACATTCATTTGCATTAATACCGTACTTTCTGGCCAGTTATAAGTTCTGTATAAAATAACACGGATACATTGATTGTATTTAGGTCAAACTAATGCTCTGTCAACAATATCAAATCTTATGTGACAACAAATGTGATGGGCATGCGCATATATGGGCACAATGACGTCATATCACATAATTTCAAATTGTATCAAAAAAGTTGTCAATTTTTTTTTAGAAAACACCTTTTGACCAATAAGCAAACACTACAAATCACACAAACCAATCGGATTTGATAATTCAGTTTTTTATCAATGTACATCACATTATTTGATGCAGTTTGATGTACTGTATTCTGATATTATTCTATCACAACTTTATGTGGCGATTTTTTGAAGAAATTTGATAGTGTAGGAGCTTCATTAGTCATTGGAAATAGAATCTTTAACTATTTCGTTATATTATTATATAGCCTACTGCTTTGTTCTCTCTATCATTTCAATGTTATATATATTTTTTGAGAGTTGATTTATTTACGTTTTAAAGCCTATAATTATTTGCCCCGTCACAGGAAATGGAATCTTAACTATTTATTGTTTTATTTACTATTTTATTGTTGAAAGGCAATCCGTATGACTCTATAAACCCTATATTAATTTGCTGGTAGCAAGTTTTATCAGAGATTTACTGGTAAAAGCTTGTCTTAGCTACCAGTACATTGTGCCGGATAAACTGTCCGGCTGAGCTCATAATCTCTAAATAAAAATGTAACCAGTACTCAATAGTCATTCGTCGGTTTGGCAATATACAGAATGGTGAAGTTTTGGACGTGTACGTTGTTGCTGATTTTTGTAAAACATGGTAAGAAATGATTTTACTATACTTCAGTTTAATATATATTTTTAGTGTTCACAAATTCGAATTATTTATTTTGGATATCTAGTTAGGCAGACGGAGCACCTAAGTGGCAAAAAATTATTTACAAAGCGACTTTTGTTGGAAACTGTTGATATCGACTTGGAATACCACCAAAAACAGTTGGATGGATTTCGGGCATGGAAAAATTTTTTTTTATGACCTTCTACCTAAAAAGGGTAATTCTATATATATAGCAACAAGGTGGTGGGGAGTAGAATAGATAGCCATATCTTATCCTAAACCCGTAATACATGCATTTTTAAGTATAAAATATCATTGTTCATTACCACTACATTTTTTTTTATCAAGCGTTACGCAAACATATCATTAATGATGTCAGAAACGGTCAAAGGTCAAAGGTCATTGCAACAAATTGGCCCATACCTTAAAAAAGCGATGAATTATGTACATTCCTTTTGAAGTTCCTGCTTTTTTCTCTCAACAAAGTGTTTTATGGCTCATTAAATCTTAAATTTTTATAATAATTTAAAATTGGCGTCCAAAGATGGCCGACATACATTTTGCATAGCTATTATTCAGTAACAAGTGGCACTTAATTGGGATTTGCTGTGGAAATTTCTTATTTTCTAGGTCATAATATACCATGCAATAAAAAGAATGTAAATCGAGTTTAAGGAATATATAAACAAATATTGAATTTAAAATGAAAATATGTGATAATAAGCAAGGCACACGTCATTGCTGAAGAACCACAGATTCTTCTGGTCGCTTAAACCACCATTCCATTGTGGTCAAGTTGTGCTGACGTTCGCCATGTCGCCATGTTTGTGGAAGGTCACGGGCTCGAGTCTCGGTTGATTTTTTTTTATTTTTCTTTGTTAGATTTTCTTTTTGCTACTTTTCACATTAATATTTCTGAGTGCTCTGGTCCAGACTCTGTGGAGTATTTTAGGAAATGTTATACAAATGCTCATTATAACAGTGGGCCATAGCCTCAGCAGAGTACAGTATTATTTAAGCATAAATTGTATAGGGACAGTTGCGTATCTAGAAGTAACAGGGGGATGATGTGGGAGACGCAAGGGTGCAATGTGGCTCAATGATTTTTTTTTTGTGGGCGTTAAGTTGCTAAATAAGATGATATTCAATGATTTTAAATACTTGAGCTGACTTTTTTGCTTCCAATGTGAAGGAGGCGTAAGTTTTTTTTTTTTGGACAGTGCCCCCCCCCCCTCACACACTCCATAGACATGCCACTGTAGAGACCATTCCAAATTTGATATTTATTTATATTTTACTTAAGCTCTTATTAAACCATATTTTAAATGATATTGATCAATGCTATGACCAAGAAAATGTAAACACTGCAGTCACCACTATAGGACTACTAATTAATGGGTTATGGGTATGAAAAATGAATATAGCAGCCATTTTGGAGTACTTTTTGGAATTATTCAATTTTTGAAAATTATTCTTTAATCAATATCAGATGAATTTTGAATTGGTTTCAGTTAAGAAAAAAAAAAAAAAAAAAAAACTCCGAGACAAAAAGTAATTAATTTATGGCTATTTTAAAGTTTTTGGAGCCATTTTGGCGGCCATCTTGGAAAAATCACTTGATGCTTGTGCAATTTTTGGCTAAAATGTACATATTCATTTTTTCTAGACATTACAGAAAACATCCGAAAAAAGTTTTCTTGCACTTGTTTTTTGGGTCATATGTGGGATAGAACCGACAACCCCTACCGTTTCAGTGTTTGTTACTAAAAATAGATTGACCTTTATATAAAAGGTCATAACTCCTTTTCCCATGGGAAAATTTTTCCAACTTTTTTTTTTGGTGGCTCTTGAAACCCTCTTAGATAGTTTCTACTCAAAAAACCTTTGTACATAATTGTTTGCCACTTTGGCCAAAAAACTGGGGTTTTCACCCTAATTAATCAGATTCTTATACTTAATATATATTATCATCTCAATCAATGGTCGGGGTAATTGTCAAAATTGATGCATGGTTAATTCTTTTGCAGGTTTAATTTCTGCTTTGCAATGTAAAATAAAAGAGAAGCCTCAGCCTGCAAATGACGATTCGGGTTGCTTAAGAACATGCGAATATCCGGCACAACCTAGGATATGCGAGTACGAGTTTACTGTTGCATGGACAAATAGTATGTCAGCACACTGTGGAAACTGTCCATTCGTCAGAGAAGATTGTAGTTTGGAAAATTGTATATCGGTCGACGGGTCTTCTCGAAATGTACTAGCAGCGAATGGGAGCTTTCCAGGACCATCAATTCAAGTGAGTAACAGTAGTCATAATGTATTCTAGACCTACTTCATTTTCAGGGGCAGGGGAGAGAGGGAAGGGTCACCAAACTGTCAGAATAGGTAAGTAGGTATAACGATGGGGGTGGAGGTCCCATTGAAACAGTTTGTACAGTTTTTATATTCTATTTTCTGTTATTTCAATACATGGTATTGGTATGTACTGAAATTTAATAATGTTGTGGTAAAATGAGGGTCACTTGCCCATCCCCCACCCCCATGCTCAGAGTGAGCTATTTCAAGGCATTACGTTATAATTAGTGTACACACTACTTCATGTTAATATGGCTATTTCACAACAATATATTTTGTGTAAAAGAATTGATTGATTGTAATAGCCAAAATATTATAGTGTGTATACACAGAAAATAATAAAGTCTGTGCGAATTTTGGCTGATCGGCGGGGTAACGACCACCAATAGAAAATCTTTTAAACAACCCTAAAGGCCTGTTTATACTTCAACGATAACGATAAAAAAGCTAAAAATCAATTGTTCATATAGAAAATAAAAGAAATAAGAGAAGTTTCTCACTAGAACAATTCGATAACGATTTATCAGTTATGCGATAACAACATATTTTGACAAATCAAATCAGATGCCGTCATAATCATGGAAAAACTTTAAAATCGTAATTTTTTTCATGATTATGACATCATCTGAATTGATTTGTTAAAATATTTTGTTATCGTATACACGATAAATCGTTATCGAATCATCCTAGTGTAAAAACTTATTTTATTTCTTTTGTTTTCTATATGAAAAATCGCTTTTTAGCTTTTTTATCGTTATCGTTATCGTTGAAGTATAAACAGGCCTTAATCCAGCAATGTATTATTAACTTTCGCATTTTACTTCATTGATGACATTTCTAAGACGTGTGAATAAATAGAGGCACTGCTAAATATACCGGTACATTCCAACTTGCATCTTGCCTTGAAGTGGAATAAACTCCCTCCGCATTTATTTAACCATTATTCGGTAATTTTGATATCGCATACCGGTAAATCGTCTGATCATGAGCAAAGAGTTTTAGATAGTTTATGTGTACATCTATTGCATATGAAGGAAGTTTGTGATATAATTGTAATAAAGAAAAAAAACATAAAATGTCGATTTTGTTCAAGAGGATTTTATAAGACAGTGGTCATCCTTAGTGATAATTTTCTTTCAAATTAATGACTTTGACTAGGGCCTGTATGCCTATATTTATTCTATTTTTAATTTTTAAGAATTATACATATTAACATGATCAATGATTAATATGTTCTTGTTTTATAAATATTGAAAAATTACAGATAGTTTTTATATTTCAAATAGTTATATTAGTTGAAACATGATACCGTGTTCTTAATTATACCATAAATATCATGTTTATCGGAATTGTAAGAAGAATTAATTTAATAAACGTGGTTTTCGATCGAAATTATTTTAATAGAGACAGTTCTATGTCCTTCTATTTAGAAGTGTATAAATATTCAAAAAATACCATTATTTATGGTAGTCGAAGATTAACGGCTAAATGGTAGAATATGAACATTTGAAAATAAAACTTCCGCAGGGAGAAGCCTGGCCAAAAAAGAAAATAAAAAACTGGTCAAATTCTTCCGGTAAAAGAAAGATTGTAAAAGATACAAAATGAGAAAATATGCGAGCCTGACTCGAGGAATCGAACCCTGGCCTTCTGCCTGGTATGCAAAGGCATTTTATTCAACATTCTTCCTGCCAAATGTATAGACCTAACCATTCATCATTACATGTTTATTTCTTTACTCAACAGGTTTGTGAAAACGATATAATCAGAGTAAAAGTAAACAACAATGCTCAGAATTTTGCAGGCCTATCCATCCACTGGCATGGGATCCACCAAATAGATACGAACTGGATGGATGGCGTCCCGCGCCTGACGCAATGTCCTATAGCACGCGGATCGTCGTTCGTGTACGAGTTCAAGGCTGATCCTGCTGGAACTCATTGGTGGCATGTACATACGGGTTTCTCCAGAGCAGACGGGTTACTTGGATCACTTATAGTTAGAAAACCCAAAATATTAGAACAAAATAGTAACCAGTATGATTTTGATCTACCAGAACACACTATTATGTTATCAGATTGGTCAAATATAGGAGGATTAGATACGTCTTTGAAGACGGCTGTTCCCGCAAAATTTACAAGAACACCAACACTTACTATACTTGTAAACGGAAAGGGAAGTACACATGAATTCATTGACGACAATGGTCAAACTTTCAAAACTCCAGGCACAATATTCGAAGTCCAGGAAGGCGTGCGGTATCGATTTCGAATAATCGGTGGATTCGTTGCTGCTTGTACTACCTCGTTTTATATTACGGGTCACCGACTTATTGTTATTAATGTGGACGGTTACGAAGTCGCTCCAGAAAATGTAGGCTCGTTAAGGATTGGTCCAGGAGAAAGGTATGAACTTTATTTGCCCTTAGTTAAGGCTTCAAGGTGATTAAAACTTAATATATTAACCTAATTATGATGATTATTATCATTATTATTATTTTTATTTATTATTAATATTATCATTATTATTATTGTATACAGTATAGGCCTACATCATTTACTAATGCTATTGATAACACTTGTTATCAATCAATCAATCAAATAAATATTTATTCAGCAAAAAAAACAATCAAATGTAAGATGGCCTACATTATTGAATGCCAAGACTTTTGTAGTAGAGAAATACACTCCTTCACAAACTTTGCAGAGATTTTATAACATAAACCATTCTAAAATGTATGTCAATTGATGTTTTAACAAAAATGCTGGCTACAGGTTAGTCAGTGTATGGTTTATAAACTTTAATGTATTTAGATTTTTTTTATTCTAGATATGATATTGTTTTACATGCTGACCAAGCGCCCTCAACGTACTGTGGATATATGGTTGGAATTGCCAACGCTTCATGCGCGAACACTTATTCGTTCTTACTGAAATATAAAAACAGTCAGTTTTCTCCGGTTTGCAACTCGAGTCACTCATTTGTTAATGAAGAGTATGGTACTCCTCAACACCAGGATGCAAGAAGAATGCTTTCTTTGAACTTAGCGGAATCTCTAGGTAGGCCTAATAATAATAATATTAAAAAAAAGTTCTTAACCATTCTAAAGTAGTCAGCAGAACAAGTCGTTGTCATTGAAAATCTAAATAGTTGACATGCTTTAGCTGTACAAGAAATGCAACACAATAGTTAAATCAAACAATATTTGGTCTTATATACTTTAACAATTTATTTAATTACATTTATTAATAAGAAAGAAAACTGTTTTGTCTTTCTAATATTAGTTTACTACTGTATATTTCCTTTTCTTTTCTTTCACTTCCCTTGCTCTTGTTTCCTTATCTTTTCTTTTCTTACATTACAGTGTATTTCCTTTTTTTTTTCTATAGCTTACCATTTTCCTCTCTATTGTTTCCTTTTCTTTTTTTTTCGTTTATGTTTTCTTGACTTTCATTTCCTTTTATTTTTTCCCTTCTTACGTTTTCTCATGTTTTACTTCCCTTTTCTTTCCTTTCTAATATTATTTGTTTTCCTTTTCTTTTCTCAATTATCTTTCTTTTACCAAAGCCAAGCAATGACGTATGACAGATTGACAGGCAAACAAAATAGACTAAAGCCGGGCAATCACTGCGCGCGTGGTACGACCGTCGCACGACGAATCCATTGCGCCCACGTCTTTGGTGTTTGATTTTTGAAAATATTTTATACTTTTTATTTATTTAATTTATTTATTTATTCATTTATTTGTATATATTTATATTGTATTGTCATTGTATTTGTTTTTGATGATGGAGTAAGAGCAGTTTACTGTTTGGGGTTATGCCTATTACTTACTCCTGGCAAGAATATTGTATGTATACTTTTTACTCTGCCGAAAAAATATTATTATTATTATTATTATTATTATTATTATTATTATTATTATTATTATTATAGTTTTAACTATTTTTGCACTTAACAATGCTATTCGGTCACTGAAACTATTTTTACTAGCATTTATTCTAATTCTAATATTTTATTGCTGATCTGAATCTTTTATATTGTTTTTTGTTTTATGTATACTTTTATGTAAAGGTGTTTAGTATGGGAGAGACAATTGATACTTGCAGTTTTAGCAACCCTCGGGCAATGAATGTATGCTTTGTCTTGCTTTTACTTGGATATTGAATAAATAAATGAATAAACAAACACACAAACAAATAAACAAATAGGGGGGTGGGGTGCTAAATATTTTAACCAATTTACATTTCAGAAATATTTGGCACCAACAAAATGGATACAGGCCCTACCTACTTGTTCTCATATTAGTTGCTCCATTAAAAATATAGAATTAAAATTAGATAATATCTGTTTAGCACAAAATATAAATCTTTGACTTTAGGTGTTACTGCTATTAATTTTTACAGAACCAATTGATCCTGAGTGGTACAATGTGGATGAGACATTTTATATTTCTTTGCGATCCTTCGATATGTTCACAACCGGACCCTACGCTGGCCAGTTCTTTGGGCGTCCAGCGATGAACAATGCAGTCTTTTTATCTCCGCATATGCCATTCGTAACCAATCCTCCAGGACCTTCTGATACATGCGATACTACGAGAAATAAAACTATGTATGATACTTGTGTTGAGGATCACTGCATGTGTACAAACGTATTGAAAATTCAGCTTGGAAAGGTAAGATCTATACGTTTTCATTGTTGGGATTTTAAAGATTATTGTAACACAAGTTCACGTCACTTCGTGTTTTACCGGTGGCGCATTTTAACGCAATTAATGATGATTTAAGCTCTGTCGACACTGTGAAAAAATAGGTGAGATTTGCTTAGATCATGATGATGTCATTGCACACCCATGTGACCGAACCGAATGTGTCTGTCACGTAAACTTTCATAGTGTGGACCGAGCATTAAGCCCATTGCAAAACAGAGTAACAGAACGTATATGTTTATTTAAAACTGGACTATTATTTAAAAATTGTTAGTTTCATATTTAGAGTGCAATATTTTCTCAAATTATAAAATAAGCCTATTTACTTTGTTTATAGGTTGTAGACTTGGTGATGTTGAATCTGAATGGTGATATTATTCCTCATGCGTTACATATGCATGGAAGTTCGTTCCGGGTTCTGGGCGTAGCTTCCTTCAGAAATACATGGATGAATTTGCAGAAGGTTATTGAACTTGATGAGCAAGGTAAAACATAACGTTTATGATGCAACGTTCTCTTCTTCATCGATGTTTGCTGAATACCCGGCATATAAACACAAAATGTTATTAACATTCGCGAAACGTTGTGTTATAGTTTATATCATGGTATAACATTAACACACGGTGGCAGCAACGTTTCCAGTAGTCAGAAATTACGTTATAAATACATATTTATGATTCTAAAAAATGTTTTGAATACGGTACAAAACCGAACTTAAAATTTTTAGCTTGGTTGGCCGTCGCTTTTCATTGTTAAGATGAGAAGTGACTACACGTTTTTTATTATTATTATTATTATTATTATTATTATTATTATTACTACTATTATGGATTTTGAAACACATTCATTGACAAGAAACTAACATCGACACATTCAAACAACTACTCAAAACACATCTTTTTAATTTATATTTTGCTTAAAACTCTGAATTTGTATTTCTAATGTAAAGTTATTATTATTATTATTTTATTTTATTTTTTATATTATTATTATTATTATTATTATTATTATTATTATTATTATTGGTTGAATTTAAATTCACAATCAACTGTATTTTAAGTCCTAAACACAAAATCTAAAAGTTAGTAGGAACGTTTTTTTGGGTTTTTTTTTTCATTTTCAAGGTGGTCTATTACGGCGCCCCGTCGATAAAGCAGTCCTGAAAGACACTTTGAACGTCCCCGAGAATGGCTATGCTATATTAAGGATCAAAGCAGACAATCCGGGTTACTGGCTGTTCCATTGTCATATATTGAATCATGCAGAGGTAGGTCAATGTAAACTATTGTTTTGATATTGAAATGTTTGATTTGTGTTTGATCCAATTTTTGAGCTCTATTTACATAGCGATTTAACATGAAAAAAATTAACATAAATAAGTCGCAGGGAGTTTTCGCAAGCTTACGAAAACGAATACAGTTACGTCATCATTTTTTTTTTGTCAATCCATCCCATACAGTAGCATATCGATGACTTTTAAATGAACCAACGATCATATTCAGCCCGTATATGTATATATCAAAGATCTTATAAACACAAGATAGC